AGAGCACATATAGCACTTTGTGTAGCTTGGTGCTTAATAATAAAACAACAAACAACAAACTGATGGTAAGCTTAATACTTAACTAATTTAGTGCCAGCAAAAAAAAGTGTGATTCAGCACTTAGAACTGCTATCGAGTTATTTGAAAGAGTGATACATCAGATGTATTTATTTCATCTATAACTGATCCAGTTTTACAAAAAGAAAGTGAAAAACAAACTTTCTGAAAACGTTTTTTTTTCACATAACGTAACCATGTTTTAACGGCTAATACCCTATACATCTTTAAAGTTGAAGAAAAATATTGTATGATGCTAAAGCATCGAAAGGAACTTATAATGTAATAAAGAATACATAAATAATTACATTTTAACAAACAAAGCTTTAAAGAATCTGTGTCCTACATACCTCTTTACTACCCAGTCAAGGTTCCTATTCAATTTCATCACACATGAATGCTTAATTTTTGTATTTACCGAAAATTTTAATGTTAGCTAGCCTGCTCAACCATAAAACTTAAAATTCTAAAGGACAACATGTAGCGTCTAAACGATTTTTTTCATATGTATATCTTTTAGTTTAGTGTTTTATTACGCTAGGCTTCATTCATTGTGCTTGTTTTTGTCTTTGAAGATTTAAGGCGAAATAATGAAGTGACTATATATATATAGCTACAATGGTACAAATAGAATAACTTACTTAGTAAGTTCAGAGGTTTGTTTTTCATTTTAAATATAATGACGTGTTTTCATCCATAAAACTGGTAGTTTTTTTTTATAACTAAGTGAAACTTAGAATTTATAACGATAAAGACTGTTTCTAATAGGATAACCGTTCAGCTGAAAACGCTTCCTTGATTTCCTTGTCTAAACCATTTACTTAACAAACGGTTCGATGTTAAAGTTAAGAGTGAATTCTGTTTGCTCATTTTTGTAAACAAATAGAAATGAAGTGGTCCAGATAATTTCCAGTGAGTTAACTTCTGTAAATGTTGTTTATAATGACAGTTAGTTTAGTTATGTCCAGACTTACTGTACATCAGGCAGAAACTGTAATCTTTCGTATAAGATTGTAACTAATGAATGCAAGAAAATGTCTTCGTAGGTTCTTTTTTTTTTTCTCAGTAAACCATGTCCAATACGTAATTTGTTGTTCTTAGTAAAACATGTATAACAATTTCACATTTATATCCAAGCCATATATGCATTCATATCTTTACAGCATTGACTTTACTCGGCGACTTGTGTTAATTTCAAGAATATACTAGATAGGTTTGGTTTGAATTTCGCGCAAAACTACACGAGAGCTATCTGCGCTAGCCGTCCCTAATTTAACAGTGAAAGACTAGAGGGAAAAGAGCTAGTCAACGCCACCCACCGCCAACTCTTGGGCTACTATTTTACCAACGAATAGTGGGATTGACCGTCACATTATAACGCCTCCACGGTTGAAAGAGCGAGCATGTTTGGTGGAATGGGGATTCGAATCTGCGACCCTCAGATTGCAATACTAGATAGGAGTTTTGTGGTAAAGTAAAAATAAGGAAATAATGTAATTTATTAATAATAAGGAAAGGTGGTAATTTACTAATAATAAGGAAAGGAGATAATTTATTAATTTCCTTATTGTTAATAAATTACCTCCTTTCCTTATTAATTAATAAATTATCTCCTTTCCTTATTATTAGTAAATTACCTCCTTTCCTTATTATTAATAAATTATCTCCTTTCCTTATTATTAGTAAATTACCACTTTTCCTTATTATTAATAAATTATCTCCTTTCCTTATTATTAGTAAATTACCACCTTTCCTTATTATTAGTAAATTACCACCTTTCGTTATTATTAATAAATTACCTCCTTTCCTTATTGTTAATAAATTACCTCCTTTCCTTATTATTAATAAATTACATCCTTTCCTTATTATTAATAAATTACCACCTTTCCTTATTATTAGTAAGTTACCACCTTTCCTTATTATTAATAAATTACCTACAAATTACCTCCATTCCTTATTATCAATAAATTATCTCCTTTCCTTATTATTAGTAAATTACCTCCTTTCCTTATTATTAATAAATCACCTCCTTTCCTTATTATTAGTAAATTACCTCCTTTCCTTAGTACTAATAATAAGGAAAGGAGGTAATTTATTGACGAGGGAGTTTAAGCTACTGTTGAAGTCAAACATCTTCACATAAAGTAATTTATGCTCATTTTACAATATGTGATACTCACCCTGTCTGTTATTGTAAGGTTGGACGTAGCCTAGTGTTTAGTGTACCGGTATGCAAATCGGGAAATCAAAGGTTCGATCCCAGTTTATACTGATAAACATGTTCTGTACTTTCAGTTGTAGGCGCGTTATAAAATTGACAGTCAATCCCAGTATTCAGTTAAGAGTAGCCGTGTAGATAGCGGATGCTGTTGGTTAATTGTTGCCCTCTTTCTGGTCAACAGTGCTAAATTAAAGACGGCTACACCTGAATCTTTGGTTTATAAATGTGGCCGTTTAGCACGCGTGTTGAATCAGGTGGAGTCAGGAAGAAAATACCAAATCCTAATAGTGGTTTAGAAACGTGATTTTATCTAAAACAAAGAGACTCCGTAAACGGTTTAAAACGGATAAATCAATAGCGAATCAGTAACTTTATAAAAGTGCACACAAATGTTTTTGTTGGCTTCCCACAAGCGATAGAGGAATACTTTCAATTTGAATGATTTATGAAACTAGAAAAATTTGTAGGATTTTAGATACGACTGCAGTCATGCTGAAACTTATCAGAATGCACTAGGTTTTGTTTTATTTCTATCCAGAATATTCTTTTGGTCTTTTTCTAATTCGTCAAAACACAACAAAGTGCTATTTTTAATGGTATTTTATGTGACTTGATTGTTTAGGTTATATTAAAGATATCGGAAGAACGCTTATGACGTGCCAACAAATAATAAACTATGGACTAGTGAGCAACACAGCAGTGTGAATATCAAGTTTAAATTTTGGGGCAATTTTGAATTTAAGAGCGTGCATTTATTCGTCGATTAAAATATGGTATAATAGCAAATATTGTTCTAAACAATTAATATTTTGTAGGAATATAACACAGTCTACTGCATATTTTGATTGGATTGTGATTCAATAACTGTTTTTTTTTGTTGTTTTTTTAGGTTTCTTGGGTTCGTCTTCAGGACTTTCACGTTCTAACAGTTGGTAAATACACTTACACCACCGATGAGCGATTCAAGGCTTTCCACACTGAATACTCAAACGAATGGACGCTAAAGATTGAGCTCGTCCAGGAAAGTGATGGAGGATTCTACGAATGTCAGCTTACTTCCAATCCTCCAGTGTGCCAGGTTCTCTATCTTCACGTTTTAGGTAAATAAACAAGTATCTTCCTAGTCATAAGCTGCCAAATAAGCATAAGCTGCCAAATAAGCATAAGCTGTCAAATAAGCATAAGCTGCCAAATAAGCATAAGCTGTCAAATAAGCATAAGCTGTCCGCAAAATACAAAGGCTTATTTATGTCTTACAAACTGGGCCGCAATTTATCTAACTGTGTGTTTTTTTCGCCATGTCTCATACACTGAGTAGATCTTAAAATTAAATGTATGATCGATGTTACCAAATTTATTTTCTTCTTTACTTACAATCCTATTATTTTCAGTCAGTGAAGGTTTTCCAAGTTCATATTCCTTAATAAATAATGTTCATCACATTTTATAAGTGTTAAATTACGTGATCAATTCAGATTATGTTATAATAAATAGGCCTTCCCCAAATTTTCACTTCTGCTGTATTACCCAGACCAGCAGTTTTAAAGTTTTCGTAACTAGCATTGACGACCATGTGTTGGAAAAGTACAAGAAACAACCAAAAACCAGATTTATTTGAAGGACCATCACTGACACTCATTCAGTCAACAATCTAATCGTCCAAAACCAAAGTTATTTTCTGTTTAATTTTGTTTTTTACCACTCCACATAGTTTGAATTTAAATTGATATATATATCCACATAGTTTTAATTTAAATTGATATATGTATCCACATAGTTTTAATTGAAATTGATATATATATCCACATGGTTTTAATCGAAATTGATATATATATATCCACATAGTTTTAATTGAAATTGATATATATATCCACATGGTTTTAATCGAAATTGATATATATATATCCACATAGTTTTAATTGAAATTGATATATATATATATTTCCCACATTGTTTTAATTTAAATTGACATATATATATACATATATTATTAATGAGGTAACTTGTAACATACTTTATAAAAACTAAGATCAGATAAAATACAAAACTGATATGAAAGAAAGAGCTAGGTGGACATTAAAACTATGTGGCCTTGTTAATGATGAAATTCTGTTTCTCGAAGTCTTTGTGAATTAATGTTTCATTATAACTTTCCACATATCAGTAATAATATGTATCCTGACTAACTGGTTGTAATTTTCTGGCCTTCTTTTTCAAATAAAGGAATAATCAGATTGCAAACCTCTAAACAATATCAATATTCATTCATTACTAGGCTTGTTTAAGCCTGAAAAGATTTTGTCAATTTATTGTTTGTTCGTTATGGCTCTTTTACAAAAGATTTATCTTATACTTTATAAGAGTATCGTGTTAAAGAGTGGATGGCAATGAGTAATTAATACCTATTTACTGTATAATATTAATCATGGTTTTTAATTACGATTTCAACTGTGTTTACGTGTTTCACGAATGGTTTAACTCAAACTGCTTATCTTCAATACGTGTACGATGTAAGGTTGATTCCGTTTTTTACCATTTCTCGTAAGAAGTTCTGTAATTCAGTCGCAACTGTATGAGAAACTTTTATAAAAAAAATATCACTGACATTTTCGACAAGAACATAGTAAAGTAATATTTAACTTTCTAAGTTTCACGTTTTAAGATTTAAGAAACGTTATTTACAAAACCTATTTCAAATGACACAGAATTCGTTTAATTAAAACAATTCGTTCTGTCTTTTTTATTTTATAGACAAAGATCTTCATTTCTATATATTTATCAAGTTTTGTAGACACTTCTAAGTTGGCTTTATGACTGATTTTTGTAGTAAGCGACAATAATTATACTTATTATTTAACACAGTTTAAACCGTAAACAATATATATACCTTAATGTTTACAGTAAAGTAAGACCAGTTATCAGTATTCAACCGTATTCTAAGTTTGCGGGTGATTTACCATTACTTGATGGTAAAGTATTATTCTTACAAAACGATATGTCCCCCAGTGGCACAGCGGTATGTCTGCGGACTTACAACGCTAGAAACCGGGTTTCGATACCCGTGGTGGGCAGAGCACAGATAGCCCTTGTGTAGCTTTGTGCATAATTAAAAACAAACAAACAAACACAACGTTATATATCAACATTTCATGAATTATAAGTATTTTCATTTTTTACTATCTTTTTAGTTTTATTATTCTCAACCCGCGTATTATTCGCTTTTCATCCTTCAACTAGTGATTTTTTAAATTATATATCGGTTTAACTGTAACTCTTAAAGATGATTCTCCAGTGTACTGCTTTACCGTATGGTCTATTCATTGCGTAATAAAAATTTCGGGCGATTTACCATTAATTATTTGGTACACTCTACAATAAACTGTATTCAAAGCGAAATATTTCATTATCTCATTATTTTTCTAAGCATTTGACAATTGAAATAAACATCTGCAGGTCTTTGATATATTTATTGTAATATTTAAGGCATAATTACAAAATCCCTAGTCACGAAAACAAAGACAAAAACGAAATAAAATATTAAGTTCTGTCATTCTATTGCGACCATATTTTCGCACCTATCGGTAAGAAGTGAAAATTTATTAAAATACATTTTATCCTTTCACACACACATCTGCCGCTAGTGGGAAGTGAATGCGAAATCTAACGCATAAACGTCACGCATATAACCACTATACCTGGATTACGTCACTAGAAAAAAATTATAAAAAAATCACCATAACAGCTTATTCATACAATCTTTTTAAAATAGCCTGGTAGTTAGGTAGCTCGCAATCTGTGAGTCGAGAGTTCGAATCCCCGTCACTGAACATGCTCGCCCATTCAGTGGTAGTTAGGTCGCTCGGCACGCAATCTTTGAGTCGACAGTTCGAATCCCCGTCACCGAACATGCTCGCCCATTCAGTGGTAGTTAGGTCGCTCGCAATCTGTGAGTCGCGGGTTCGAATCCCCGTCACTGAACATGCTCGCCCATTCAGTGGTAGTTAGGTCGCTCGCAATCTGTGAGTCGCGGGTTCGAATCCCCGTCACCGAACATGCTCGCCCATTCTGTGGTAGTTAGGTCGCTCGACACGCAATCTGTGAGTCGACAGTTCGAATCCCCGTCACCGAACATGATCGCCCATTCAGCCGTGGGGACGTTATAATGTTAAAATCAATCCCACTATTTGTTGGTACAAGAAAAGCTTATATTACTCCAAATGAAACTTAACATTCTAGTATTTACTTCCGGGTTACTTTCCATGTTACCTTTTCCCGGTATTCTTTTACTGTTTTTATACAATTACAGTTTCAACTTATTGGACTTGACCGTATAATATACAACGAATTTTTCATAACCGTGTAATACAGTGAAGCGTCATGAAGAATAATTGACTTTTACCTTGGTAAATACGACAACACCTGACAGCGTAGTGCTACTTTAGTAATAGAAGCACGTTTCCAATTGCTACACTATATAAAATTTTTATCTCTTTGAAGTTAAATTTATTATTCAAATGTTTCATATAGCCTGCTAAGAGGTTTATACACGTGATGCTCATCCAAACTCTCTCTTGAGGCCACGATATTTACAAATTGTATTTAATACCGATACTAATTTTAGAAGTTAAGAAATAAAATGATCTCATAAAATACAAGCCACTTAAGTCACTGCAAAAACACAAATCAAGGAGCAGTTTTCACATAGTCCAGAGTTGAGTAGTTTTCCACCATTTTATATAGGCCTAAACATAATATTTCTACCATTTTATATAGGCCTAAACATAATATTTCTACCATTTTATAGAGGCCTAGACATCATAGTATATAGGTTCAGCACTGAAGCTTTGAGTTGTTTACGAAAACGTTAATGATGTAATTTTGTTAGGTTTTGACATTTCTGTACTTGAATTTAATGTTTCAAAAAGCATCCAACTTTCTTATTCTCACTTTCTTCTACTCAAGCTCTGGAAAGAAAGAATAATGAACTATATATATATAATCCGCTTTCTTTTTACGATTTTTGTCAGTTTTAAATAATAGATGAGCTTTCCGTTAGAGAGAAAATGGGATTAAATATTATTTTTGTCTTTACTGTGATTCACATAAATGTATGGCTTCTAGGATGATATGTGCTAAACAAATCCAGTGAATAAATAATGGTAACTGACTGTGTCTGTCTGGTAAAACTGGAATTGTCTGTAATCTCTACCAAAATAATTTATTTTACATGTCTGGTTCCTTACAGAGAGATTGTCATAAGCCTAGTCGTTCTTCCTCATTCCCTCAACAAGATCAATATAAAAATCAATGATGCGAAGCTGGCTTGCATCATACCACCCGTGAAATAGCCCTCATTTTTTTAATAGCGTTTCTTTGAACTTTATTTGAAGTTTGGCATTTTTCTGGTCAGGAACATGACAACTTTCAGACGATGATTTGAAGTTCTTCACATTTATTTGGTTTTTCTACTCTTAAATACTTTTTTTTAACAAATACATGTACATACTGAGCAAAGAGTGATCGATTTAAAAGCACACTTTGTTTTTATTGATGTTGGTTTTGTCAGTACCAATACGAAGAGGTAAACAGTTTTATATATATATATATATTATGAAAAATAAATTACGAACTTGAATTTCTAAGTTAGATACTCAGAAAGTTTATTTGTCGAAGTGAGTTTTCTATCTCGAAGAATTTATCCTATTGCTTGCTAATTTATATTTACCTGTTGAATAACATTCGTTAAAAGACAAGTAATTATCAATACGAAAAAAAAATCAACCGAATTCAGTAAGGTCTATCTTTTCCTTAAATTCTAACCTGGTTTAACTTACAGTTATTATTTTGATTTATTTCTAGTTTCATGTATATACATGTAAACCCCCAGACTTGCGTCTGAGCCACCGGGAGAATTTCTAACTTTCATGATAAATTTACAGAATTACTTGATTGATAGATAGATAACAAAACTACAATCACATTTGTGGTACATGTGAATGTGCAGTCATTACTAGGATCAAAATAAAAACTTGCCTTTCAAGAGAATGGCGTAAGATGTAAGATACACTCCTACCGAACGTTCTAATTAAAACGATTAGAA